TGTTTTAAAGGACAGTGATTTCTATAATAATACCGGCATTTTGAAAATGGATGTTTCAAAAACCAAACTTATCAAATACTAATCTTTTGCTTAGAAAAATAGTTTTACATAAATCCCAGGTGCTCATAATTAGATGCTTATTTAATACTTATTAAATTACTCTTAAATACGTACTTAATGAATCATAAAATGCTAAAATACCACAATGGGCTTTTAAAATATATATACAGTCACTGTTTGTTTCATAGTTAATAAAATGTTCAATAAAAGTATAAAGGGTGTTTCAGAGAATAAGAACAAATTAGATTTTTTAATTAAAAAGAAAATCTATTCTAAATTTTTAATAAATGTGTTAGAAAGTACATTCCCATAGATGAGAGCTGAATAGAGCTAATAGAATCCACACAGGTACAAATGGGAAGTACACACATGCAAACACCTGTGTACATGTTACTTGCATATGCATGTATGTGTGTGTATGTTTTCTGTTATATCTGCAAAAGATATGGTTAACAGAATTATAGATAAAACCAAGATACCATCAAAGTAGGGAATTAGAGGAAAAAGGTTGAAACTACAGAAAATATAGTTTGCAAAGTTAATTGTTTTTGGAAGTATCTTCTTTCAAAATGCATTAATCTCCATAAGAAGTCTATTCTGTTTGGTATCCCTTCTTCTGAACCACCATCTTTGATTGTTCAGAGATTTTGACCTGACAGCCTGAGCTACTAGGTCTCTCACTAAAGTTTCAAACCAGCTTGAAATATCTTTGCACTAACATTTTCTTATGGAACAACTTGGCCTTTGCCAAATTATTTCAGTGCTGAGGGGCATTTTCTCTGGGCCTTATCTTCTCTCCATCTGTGTTGAAAAGATGAAGCATTAGAAAGTCTCTTTTCTCTACACAATCCCACGAGATCTCCTCCAGGCTGAGGGGAAAGGTTAGCTGTCATTGGGTTTACTAAACTGAAGTAAACAAAACATATATAAAACATAAAGGGTTTAAACTGGGGGTAAAAATCCAAATAAACCAAACATCCTGCTTATCTCAAATCAATAGTCAGTAAGGAATTTCGTGTGTGTCTGTGTGTGAGTGTGTGTGTGTGTGTGTGTGTGTGTGTGTGTGTGTATACCCTTCAATGGATCAAAATCATCAGTGAACAGCTTCTGACAAGTAGGTATCATAGAAATAATTCAACACAACAGTTCTAAAATGCAACTCATGTCTTTCCATTAAAACCCACTTTGTGTTCCACACTGAAGGACTATTGTCTTAGATTTTCCAAATAAAAACCTCAAAGGTCTCCCTGGTCTAGTTCTCCTGTGCCTCCATATCCACTCTCCATGCTCCATACTGATACATACCCAATGCAATCACCCTCAATCCTACTGCCTCTGCACACCCACATCAATTTCCAAGTACACTCCTGGGACAGCCACCTGACGCTCTCTTTGCTTATGACTGCTCACCTGTCCTCATTTTCATCGGCACTGCTTTCCCAGCCATCCTGCTAGAGCAGACATTTGTCATAAAGTAACCTGCTTCACTGTTTGGATGGTTCTCTAAACAGCCAACATGCGTTGAGTATTATAATATGCCGACCATGGTTGCAAAAACTTCCTATGTGTTATCTTCTTTTTTTTTTTTCTGAGGGTTTAATTATGGTCACCACTTACAAATGAGGAATCAATGCACATGGAGTTTCTGTCACGGGTTCACAGTCATTGACATGGCAAGTGGTAGAGCCAGCATTTACTAAGGCGGTTGGATGCTCTTGGCTGCCACTGTGAACCTTTCCTAAATCTTCTCCCAAATAAACTTCCAGTCTCTTTGTACAGGCAGCTACAAGACTGTGAGCTTCTCAGATTCAGAGATTGTACATCAAGGGCCAAAAAACCTTTGGACTCTTGGATGGAAGGTAAGTTGGAGGTGCGGGGGTCCTCGGTAGCTGCCACCTCCTCTACAAATGAGGATCCCTCTCAGGCCTCACACACGGTCACTAAAAGAACTTGATATCAAAGCGAGGAAAAATGAGTCCAGTAAATGCTGCAGAACGTTTTACAATACTCTGCCTTGTAGAAGGTGGAACTACATTTCACTGCATCTCAGGTGAGCACCATGCCCTCCTAATCAACGTTCCGAAGCACCTCTTTCCACAGCTCACTCAGGAGCATGGCTTCTGAAGTTAGGTGAGAGGTGGCAGAGGGACACAAATGCACTGGCAGAACAACATGGACTGCAGCCATAGCCATAGGTCTGTCATCACAAAGGATCATCTATCTGGGTTGTTACATAACTTCTAAGAAGAAATAACCATAAGACGAGAAAGAAAAGGTTAGGTATAGCAAAAATTGCCCTGATATATTCCACACACACACACAGTTTGATAAATATTTGATTGTTATTCCAGGAAAAGCTTTTAAAGGGATAACTAAGCCAGCAATTAAGGGAAAGGGATGTCTCCTTCTCCAAGGCAGTGGGAATGTCAGCTCTCTGTTGCTAAGGGGAGATTGGGCAGGTTCACAAAAGCTGAAGAGTACACGTCCCACCAAAAAGGCCGGAGTCCCCAGCTGCTCCTCTTTCCTTATTTAACAACAGAAACCACATATGCATCTCTCTGAATTCTATGTTCTGAGTGATTTTAATAAATTAGAAGCATTAGACATGTACAGACCCTTCGTGTTTCTGCCTAACAATTACCTAACACCTACACAGAAAGCCTTGCTGGAGGGAGACCTGGATCCTTAAAACTGATGGTCCACTAGCACGTGCAAGGCCCCTGTTGGATCCCCAGTACTGCAAAACAAACAAACCTGATGGTCCGATTGTTAAGGTTGGTGCTCAGCTTTGAACTGCCAGGCTCAGATATCCACTGCCTAAAGCCATTTCTGATGAGAAAAATTTAGGCAAATATGCAACCTCATTATCTTATTTAAATTGGAGAAAATGCAGTGTTCCAAGTTAATCCCACCCCTGGAATAATGTCAAAGATGTCTCAGGTTTTGAGATATTAGGGTACATGCCCCCATCGCACTCAGTATAATTAATGGGAAAGTGTGTCATGGAGGTATACATTTCCCTCCTGGAAGAGAGAGATGCTTACCTCATCAAACAATGACCATGGAAAGTTGATCATTGACAGTCAGTTATAAACTATTATAAGAAAGGTGCTATTTCTGAACTGTTTGAATAATAAAATTTAAAAACCTATTATTCCGTTCAAAGGGATACATGCTTATATTGGTGATTAAACCTAAAGTTGAAAATGGTATGGAAACTGCTCTTTCAATAGTCACTCGACCTAGTGTATCAGTATTCTGAACACTTGTCAGGAGCAGAGGGTTTTTTTTTTTATTAATGGCATTTAGTAGCATAAACAAATATAGCCACAAATTATGCAAACACTTATCCCTTGCAGCTATAGTCAGCCAAAAAAGAAACAATAACCCTTTGCATTTTCGAAGCCTACAAAAAGGCTGCTAACAGTAGTCACTTGCCCTTTCTTAAATGGCCTTTAAATAAATATATGAGTCAGTTAAGAAAGGCATTTGCTTGAATTAAACTGATAATTCTGCCAGGATGTCAGTATAATTAATTGTGGGAGGCAGAAGTTTTAAATGAGGCTAAATTAGGGATTCTGGTTTATTTATTTATTTTTCACTTACTCTACTGATGTAATTAGAGGAGCTTTCAATGGATCTTGAAATTGTGCCTTGTCATAGAATGTCATACCTACATGCTTTCGGGACAAGCCCTAGAGCATGGTTTCCTGATGGAAATGGGGGTGTGATACATACGCACGGAGCCAGTCTTCCTACTACCCTACACACGTGCACATGCACTCCTCTCACACGTTTTGTTTCATCTGTTACCCTAGAGTTTTCATCCCTGATATCACACTGTTCTTATTTATTTCAATGTCTTCTGTGGCAAGGATAAAATGATTGTAGTCACAGAGTTTCATTCCTGGTAAGCTATTTGAATAAATAATGCAAAAACACACTGCCTTCAAAATCTCTCCCTGCCTATGCTACCTACCCCCAGGACTGAAATAGCAAAATTCCATGATAGATATGTTTCACCAACAGTGTAGGGTTGTGGGCTATAGAATCTGTGTTAAATGATGCACCCTCCAGGAAGAAGAGCTGGTCGTTTATCCAGGTACTAGAGGCATCACTGCACAGCTGACACCACCTGAGTAACTGAACTAATGAGTTTTCAGGAGACACAGAATCCAGAACACTGCTGGGAGAATGAAGCCTGAATTTAGGGCTGAAAAGCATCAGAATGGGGAGCAATTCTACAGTGGATAGCCTCTAAAAGTTCAATGCAGCAAAGAAAAAAGAAAAAGAAAGGGCCACCCAAGAAGTAATTCTAGGCTAATGATTTAATTAATTAAGAATTAGTTAACTAAACTACTTCTCCAGTCATGTTTGTCTCGCTGTCGAGTAAAGGTATTAAAAACAAATACATTTTCGGAAGGTACACCATTGATCACTGAAGTCCATTCTCTGAAATTGGAACATTTTCAACATTGCACCCCCAGATGAATACGAAAGCATCAGACCAAAAGAATCCTTACGTACTGCACGGTACACGTTGTAATATTATTAAATTTATTTTGTTGAGCTCATTAACTCTACCTTTTGCCATCCCTTAGCAATAGTTCCTTTTCTGTTGTTAACTATGCATTTTCAACCCCCCTGTGCTGAGCACAAAAGGATCAAACACCACACACTTCCTGCAGCCTAAATAAAATAGCAGTGCAGCCTTGACAAAGGTGAATGTGGCATGATCATCTGCATTCCCAATTCTTCAACTTCAAAGCGAACGCTAATTGCCTCGTGAACGATGCATCGGGGTTAACATATGACATGCCTCCCAGTCTTGAGCACTGAAGTGCAGGCTGAGAGCAACAAATAGGCAAACCTCTGCAGCAGGGGATGCAGACTGCAAAGGAAGCCAGCAGCTATGAAGAATTCAGGCTTGTTTTACCTACCGGCGTTGTCCATGTCTCAGGAGTGGCGAGGCGAGTTCTGCGGCTGGCAGCGGGAAGCCCTGGCTCTTCTGGCTAACGAAGCACCCTGCCCTTCTGCTGATTATCAGCCCTTGCTGGCACACAGAGCATCCTTCATGCACTGTCTGCAGGAGACACCGCCAGGAAATTTATATCTCCAAGGATGACAAACAGCCATTAGCTCCATTACAGGCTGATTAAGAGAGACTGAGCCTATCAAGTGGGTACTTGAATCCCCTGGGGTTTCCACCTCTGTTCTAAGCAAAGAAGGAAAAAAAAAAAAACAAAGGGGAAAAAAAAAAAAAAGAAAATCCCTGCAATGTTGAATGTGCTGCACATTTTAGGGGGAAAAAAAAAAAGTGCACATGCTTTGCAAAACACCATGCTTTCCAAAAGATATCAGAGCAAACAGGAGCAGGAAGAGGCACACGTAATTAAAAGGTAAAAAGGGATCTCTAAAAATACTACAATAAATTATTCTTTCTTTGGGGTTAGTCTGAATAGGCTTCAGACTTTATCACTGACATCACTGAATGACTGGGCAACTTTTCAATTTAAAATCTTAAAGTGTTTTGGTTGTTGTTGGGGGAGGGAGCAGGGAGTAAACATAAAGCATTTAAAAATAAAGACTATCTGGAATAGCTCTGCTCTATCTAAAGGCTAAGGCTGAGAATTCTGTTCCATCTTGGCCATGTTTTTACTGTCATTAGTTTTCCTATTTCTGGTCAAAATTTCTATCCACCTATCCAAACAGCAAAATTCAAAGGAATTTCATCAATCATACAAGAAATAATTATCAAAAGAGGTCAGGGTTAAGAAATGGAAATCTGAGGATCAAGAAAAAGCCATCAACTAACCCAGGAAAAGACAGTTCACTTCTTTAATTTAATCAAGTGAATGTGACCTTCCCACCCCCCCCCCCAAAGACACCAAAAATGGCTTCCAAAATCAGGGGACAGGGCTGAGCAAGGAGCTGAAGAAATCATTTGTCAGGCCTTGTGGCTATTAGGACGCTAGATTTTGGGCACAGCATAACTCTGTCTTCTGCATTTTCTCAGATAAAGAGAAAAGATTTACAATGACCTCTTGTAACCTACCATACAATGAACCAACAGTACAACAAGTTTCTACAGGTGTTTTATTTTGACAGGTTTTTTTTTTTTAAGTTCATAATACTATCATAGCCCCACAATTGGTGAATTCAAAAAGTATTTTGTTTATTAAGCATTTCTGGATGCCATTAGAATTCCTAGTGACAAACCACACACCAATAACTCACAACCTAATCATCTATTACAACAGCTTCTGAGCTTAAATATTTTTTTTTTCATGAACTTCAGGTTTGACTATACAATGAAGGTTCTTTTAGAGTTTAAGCAAAATACTTCATTTATGATATCAGTATTAATTCAAATTTCTCAATGATTCTGCCCTGAGATTTTTATGGCTGTTATTTTAATTTTGTCAAATGATTTTAAGGATGAATGAATTTTAAAAACTGAATATTTTTTCAAAAATATTCTTCATAGTTAAAAAAAAAACTGCTTGGATCCCATAAGATTTAAATCACTGTGGCTTCCACACCTCTGCAGCTTGCCCTGATTAAGACCTGCCAGCTACCCAGAGTGAGTGTTATCAGCACAGAATCTAGGGCAAACTAACTATTTTTGAGAAAAAAAAAAGGTGGGGGGGGGGAAGTAACAGGAAAATAGGAAAGCTAGAGAGACAATTTATCACCAAGTCTGAGGTTCCGGTAAGGAACAGCTAAGAACTCTCATCTACTGAGAGTTCAGATTGCCTCATACGAATATGTTTGTACTAGCTTGGTCTGTAGTTTGAAATGTGTCAGTTATTTTTTATTAACACAGTAGTCCCCAAATGACAAATAGATTCTGTTCCAAAAGTTTATTTTGTTGAGCATTTGAAACATATTTTTCTCTTAAATATTGACAGGTTCTGAGGATGGTTCAATAAATGTTTTTTGATGTGATTTGTCTAAGGTCCACAGCCCCTAAGATAATTCTAAAATCCAGAAAGTTCTGAGAATCTTAAGTTTTTTCAAAAATTTCTCCTTTTTTTCTCCCTCTCCGCCCCCCCCCCTTTCTCTCTCTCTTTCTCCACCTCCCTCCCTCCCTCCCTCTCCCTCTCTTTTTCTCCTTCCTTGTACTGGGGGTTAAATCTTTTTTTTTTTTTAATTTGGCTCCAAAATACATTTGATTTGATGTCCCAACCTGACTTGAATCCTGTTGAAATCTTTTCTTATTCCGTTCAGAGTGAAAAAATATGTATATATTTGCAATTTAAAATGGTAGGTAACAAGAATTTGTGCTGATGGGTAGGTTAGTTTGCTAGATTTAATCATCTCACATTTTGTGTGTGTGTGTGTGTGTGTGTGTGTGTGTGTGTGTGTATCTCACAACCTCATGCCGTACTCCATGAATATATACAGTCAAAAATTTGACAGTCTACAATAATAAAAAAAGTCTTAAAATTAAAATAACATTGAATGGTAGAAAACAGTCACTGACCCTGGCTTGCCACAGGGTCCCCTCCACGTATTTAGGAACTCACTTTCTTCTGCCCTCACCCATCAACATCCAAATTTCCCCACTGATGATGCAAGAGGTGACAAAGGAAGGGCCATACCGGAAGATTCCAGAGAGGTCACAACTGGTGTTGGTGTCTACTATGAATCAGGCTGTGTTTAAAAGCTGCCTAAATATCTTGCATAACTAAAAAGAACCAATTTAAAAAATGGTTCTATCCTGGTCACTGGCACCACCATCTGCCCCTCCCCAGTATCAGAAAGCCACAGAGCAAGAAAAAGCACAATAAATGGACCATTTTCCTCAAACCCCAGGAGAATCCACCCCCCATCCTCACCGCCCCCCCAACTTAATTCAGAGCCACAATTAATATGCTCTAGTTGGGGAATGCTTGAATCTAAAATGTTTTCCTGAGCCCTTTATAAATGTCCCAGAGATGCTGTGTGGCATAGAAGCAGTGCTAATATACCTCAGTGTTCTATATTACGTTTCTAAATATGAGTTGAGTTCCTGTTTTTGTTCACCTTCCCCTATGTATACTACTCAGTTTGCTTAGAATCAGACTAACTTGTTGGAGACCAGAGGTAATTTGGAACACCCACACCCAAAGGACCCTCAGTGTGTCCCACCTTCAAAAAGAACCCCCACCACCACCCTATGGTTTTTAAAAGAAATTGTTTGCACAAGGATGTGGGACAACTACAGAATAGAAGAAAATATGTACAAACTATAATCCTGGCCAGGGATTAATATCCAGAATATATAAGGAACTCAATAGCAAAAGAGCAAATAATGTGATTTTTAAAATGGGCAAAAGACCTCAATTGACATTTCTCCAAAGAAGAAATTAGAATGGCCAATCAGATATATGGGGGAAAATGTTCAACACCACTAATCATCAGAGAAATGCAAGTCAAAACCATAGTGCAATATCACCTAACTCCAGTGAGAGTGGCTACTACCAAAAAGACAGAAGATGAGTGTTGGCAAGGATATGAAGAAAAAGAAACCCTTATAAACTTTTGCTGGTGATGTAAATCAATACAACTATTATGGAAAACAGTAAGGAGATTTTTCAAAAAACTAAAACTAGAACTAACATATGATCCAGCAATCCTTCTACTGGGTGCAGATACAGAGAAAATAAAATTAGTGTGTTGAAGAGGCATCTGCACTCCTATGTTCACCAATGCATGATTTCCTACGCCACGTTGTAGAGTCAATCTAGGCATCCATCAATAAATAAGGGAATATTATTCGGTCATAAAAAGGATGAACTTCTATCATTTGCAACAACATGGGTGGATCCAGAAGACACCTGTTAAGTGAAATAAGCCAGACACCAAGAGACAGATGCTGTGTGAGCTCACTCATTTGTGAATCTAAAACAGTGTTCTCAAGATCACAAGTTCAAAGCCAGCCTCAGCAACTTAGCAAGGCCCTAAGTAACTTAGCAAGAACCTGTCGCAAAATGAAAAATAAAAAGGGCTGGGGATGTAACTCAGTGGCTAAGTGCCCTTGGGTTCAATCCTTGGAACTGGGGGCGGGGAAGTCTTCATAGAAATAGAGAATGGAACAATGATTACCAGAGACCAGGAAGGTGAGTAGGGAAAAGGAGAGAGATTAGTGAATAGGTACAAAGTTAGCCAGGAAGGATCATGTCTTGTGTGCCATTACATAGTAAGGTGACTACAGTCAACAACATGTATATTTCAAAAATTAGCAAAAGGGAATTTGAATGTCTCACCACACACACACACACACAAAATAATAAATGTCTGAAGTGATGGATATGCTAATCACACTTACTGACTCATTTATAAGATGTATACATATATCCAAACAGTACCTTGTACCCCGTACATATCTACAATTATGATGTGTCAATCAAATTTTTAAATTTAATTCAATTTTATTTTTTGTTTATTACAAAAAAAAAAGATGTTGGTAACTCCAGACTTGTCCAGCTGAGGTAACATCATCAAAGGCCAGTGATATCTAGTACTTTCCAAAATATCACTTCAAATCACATCTTTCTTCAAAGAACCCTATGAGCAACTGTCTCTCCTAATTTCCAAGAGAAGAGTATCTTAGTTTCCTATGACGGTTGTGTGGGTTTCACATGGCTTTCTGCAGTGCGGGCATTGAACCCATGGCCTCGTGCTTGCTAGGCCAATGCTCTACCACCGATCAACACCCCAGACCTTTGCACTCCTTCTTCACAGTTTGGGAGCACAGGAAAAGCTGATGATAGTAACAACCTGCCTTTTCTGACTGACTTCCAAGCCCAGGGGCACTAAGGGCAGTTCAAGTGGATGTTGTGAACAAGAGCCAGAAACACCTTCTCAAGGAGCAGAGCAACTGCAGGGTCTCAGGCTAGAAACACCATGGTTTGGCTTTCAGAAGACCAATCCTTCTCTGCAAGGGCAGACTCTGCTCTTCTCGATGGGAAAACTAAGAGAATGAATTGCCCAAGTAACACTATTGCTCAGCCCAGCATATCTGCAGTGCAGTTCAGTCTATGTGGCCTTTTTGACCTTTTCACCTTCTGACTCATCCAACGGCATGAAAAAGTGCCAAAATATTAACTGCCCAAGAGAAAGCTTGCTCCCAGTTCCTTTTGGAACAATTCTACTGGAAATCTGTTTGGAAAGCATTTCGGCCACTGCTTTTACAAAAACAGCTATCGGATACAGATA